GCGGGGGAACGGGTGCGGGATGGCCAGTGGAGCGCCTGCCGTAGTCGCATCTTCAAGAACAGCGAAGGTGTGAAAGCCAGGCCTGGTATTTGCTGGCAGGGCTGGACCTGTGAGGAGATGAGGGCAGGCTCAGGTGCTCCCTGCTTAGCTTTCCCACCCCTTCCCCTAGCTGCCTGGCTGCCTGCAAGGAGGAAAGCGCTGTCATACATTTAGGGTGCTTGCAGACCTAAAATAAGAGAACCAAACCAGCGCTTTCAACTCAGCATGTTCTCACACTGAGCCTTGCACATGCCCAAAAGAAGCAGCATGTTACTTCAACCCAGCTCACCTGATGTTTGTAAAGATCAGGCACTTTAGTGGGGCTTTGTTGGTGCTTTTATCTAATAGCCGATTGAATCAGCTTTAGCTAAAAGTGCCAAAAAGCCCTGCTGAAGCATGTGATCTTTACAGATGCTGCAGAGCCGGGTTGAAGTAATGCGCTGCTTCTGCCAGTGAAGCACGCTTTGTTTTTTAATGTCTGCAGGCAAGCAGCCTTATTTTTTTCAGTTAGGAGCCACTCGGCTCACAGCAGTTGTGGAGGGCTGCCTTGAGTCCAAAAAAAAAAAAAAAAAAGAGCTACTGATCTGGAGTCAAATGGTTGGATTGGTTGGATGTCAGTTAACTTAAGAATTGTTTTTGAGAAGTAGGAAGTCAAGTAAAACTCCTTGGAACGAACCATTAGCAAGGCACGCAAAATGTAGTGTAGAGGAGGATTAGACCTCACTTTTTTTTCCTAATGAGCTTGCAGATAAATTTTACTGAAGTGGAGACATAAGTAGTAAAGTATTACAATGTCAGAACTCCCAGTTTTTCTTGATGTAAAAAAAATATAAAGGATACTTGATGGCACGTGTCAAGCAAAAGGCAAAATGATTATCTGCCTACCATAGTTTCAGAGACATTTTCCAAGTCGTTACCTAAGGTATTTTATTTAATTCAAAGACTGGGCAGTCTTTGCTGTAATTTTCTTTTTTTGCTTCCAAAGTGTTGGGTGGTCTTCTGGTGATTCAAGAGCAAAAGCAAGAAACGTTTGTTACAGCTGTCAGAATCTTTTTGCTAGGTAAGTAAAAGTTCTTTGTTGGAAAGTCATCTGTATTTAAAGAAAAAGCTTATCTGCAAACCATTATTCTCTTGCATTTGTACAGTGCTTCTCATCAGAGTACTTAAAAATTGTTTGGCACGAATGAAAAAACCACATCTAGTTGGCAGGGTGACAGGGTGGAGAATATTTTGATTTAAGGAATTGGCAACATACCCTTCCTTCACCAAAAGTGAAGGCTTTATGAGTCCATAAAGCTCAGGGAGATATCTGAAACATTTTAACACATTAAGTAATTTATTTTGCACCAACAGTGTACTCAGTGCATGGCAAAATGTAATAAAAACAAACAAAGACAGTAGACATAACACACAAAGAATGGGGCGTAAAATAGATACAAGTAGATCTATCCTGATTTTTGTTGTTAATGAAATATTTTGTTCCTGATAATATTGGTGAAAAGGCTACATTTGGAAGGAATTTTGAGGAATGAGAGGATGCTTCTTGGTTATCTACCCCACAAAGATAAAAGCCTTGATCCACCCTGTTGATTTTTAAAGATACTTGTTTTATACAGTCTAGGCCAGTGGTGCTCACCCTTTTTACCCAGCAGGCTGGAAGGGCAGTGTCTGGTCCAACCATCCGGTTGGGGCTTGGCAGCCATGTGCAGGGGACGGGGAGGGTAGCCCAAGCTGAGCTTGGCCCTGT